TTGCACTAAGAAGCAAAAAAGCATGTTCTTCATCATCTTGAGCCCTACATCGCAGAATTCAAGTGGTGAAAGTAATTGGGATGAGAAAACACTTTAATACCAGGAACTGTATGTGAGAAGTATGCTATAATCTTGGAACCATTATGATGGGAGCCATGAGATAAGAAAGCACTTCTTCCTTACATTATTTCTGCAAAGCTTCTAATGCTGTCATTCTGTTCACTAATAAAATATTACCTAGAAACTCTGGTATAAAATATGCTATCTTATATTATTTCTTAGAGATGAATCAAATTCTGGTGGACAGATTCGGAACAGATTCAAGTGGGCATTCAATTCTTTCTTAACTGACTCCTCTGATTATCTTGTGAAGCATCATGAATCAATAAGTTTTCAAACTAAAAGTTTTTCCATTAAAATAAATGGTCTGACTACGCTTACAATACAAATCGAATTTCAATACAATTTTTAGGAATTTATTACTTGTAAATTTTCATCTAATTCACAGACTGCAACAAATTTTTGGAATAAAACTTCCGAAATACTTTATACAAATAAAAACGGCCGCATATATAATAGCATACACGCCAAGGGAAAAAGTACGTCAGTATTTACACGGAACCGAAAATTTCAAATATCACTGTTACACAAAAAGGGGGGGTACAATGCTCTTAATTTGCAGACATGCAGCTTTAATGCATAATTTTTACTGAATATCACAGACCCCGCCAAAAAAATCGCAGTTTAGATTTCCTGCAAAGAATATCTGCCACCATAATTTCATGCAATTTAAATATAACAATGGTATGATCCCCAAAAGTAACATAAACTTGCCAAACATGGGAGCTATATCATTAATATATTGCGGATACAGAAAAATTTCATTCTGAAAAGTTAACTTTCTATGGAAAAGATGTGTTAGATATAATTCAGATTAAGAAATTATGTGTAGTTTAAACAATCAATTACTGTACTTAAAAGGGAAAAATGTGAATAGAATGTTCATTAAAAGAATTTTTATTGCTGTTTAATAACTATATGAAATGTATTAAAAACTGGTGAATTTTGTTAGGAACACAATGGATGTTTGGGATACGTGATGCAAGTCTTTAAAAGGTTCGCAGTAAAGAATGCAGAGTTCTTCAATGTCCCTCCTAGAATGTATGCTTCTTTTTTCATTTAATTCAATCTCCATAGCAAAATCAGGCACTTCACATGCCTCTTTTAACAAGTCATTTAAAGTGTTTTAACTTTTTCATTATCACTGCTTTCACTGTCAGCCAGAGTGGTAAGATAACCCAATTCTTCATTCATCATTTCTCTATTAACCCCTTAACTGCCACGGAAAATGTACAAGATTCATTTCCCAGTGCCACGGTTTTTCACACAGGGCACGCATAGTTATGTGATGTATTAGGAGGAAAATAAGTGCAAGTTTTACATTCTAAAAACTGTTTACTTTCACAAAATAAAAAGTAAAAAGAGAAAAATGAATGCACAAAATTTAATGTTTTGAGTAAAAGTATAATAAAAAGATGTAAGTATAATAAAAATTATCCATAAAATGGAGTTTTGATCAATTCCTTTTTAGACCAGTAAAGTGGAATTTCATGTTTCAGTGTCATACCTTGTGAAATCAGTACGGCTAAAAAAACATACATTTCTTCTGAACTGGTTGAATGCCACGATTTTGTTCTTAATTTTTCGTTTGCAAGGTGTTGGTTCATATACTCGTCTACAAAACGGTTAGTTTCAGTAACAATATGAAGCATGAGCAGTTCATCAAAAAATAATTCAAAAAAGATAAATGGATTTGAAACATCCGTTATATCTTTCTTTATTCCTGGAACCTACTACAAAAACTAAACAAAAACGGAGGACACAGAATTAAAAAAAAATACGTTCTACTCCAACAACACTAGCCAATACCGCACAGTCATTACTTTCACCGCTTTAGACACACCCCTCTCTCCAATTTCTCCCCCAACTTTTCTGAAATTGTATCTTTCTTTGCATACTTTGTCAAGATCATTGTGGTGTTGCATTCCAAAGCTTTGCAAATAATTTTACGGGTAGCAGCGCAAAGCAAATGATAGTAGTTTGGAAGGGCGTACATATACGTCCGGGGCAGTTAACGCATCGGCTGAGCAAGGCGTATATATAAACTCGCAACAGTTAAGGGGTTAATTCTTTGACCTTCTCCTTCTTCCATATCTGGGACTTTTGCATCGCTTTTGGTTTTGCAGTTTGTATGATTTCTTAGGCTTCATTTTCAGTCAATGGAAATCCTTTAAAACTGTTAAGTTCTGGCCAGAGCTGATTAAACTAAATATTCAGTATCGATGAATAAACGCTGAATCATATATGAATGAAATTCTAGCAATTGGACATGTCAAATAGATACAATTAATATACCAATGTATAAGCAAAATCGCATTCCACAAGTCTCTACTCAGCAATGGTTTACTGTCTTTATGGCTAGACTTATTAATATGTAGAATTTTAATAAATATAGCAATCTGAATCATTTTAAAAAGTTCAGTGTGGTCTATTTTTTAGAATATAGCATTCTGGACATTTGCATTTCTAAAAGCAGAGATAACACTAGCATAAAAAAAACGAGCATTTATTAATGCCTCCTTGAGAGAGATTTCAAATGCATACTTCACAAATAAATTTACTTGTTTGAAATAGCATCAGTAATCATCTGGATGTAATTTCATAATTTACCGGTTTCGAAATCTGTCAAACTTGTTTAAAGGTTTGTTAATATTTTTTGTTTCAAATTAAAGTAAGAAAATATTTTTCAACAAATTATTTAAATACAGGAAAAATCTAATTACACACTGACATTTAGCTGAAAATAAATTTATTTTTACCATTCTCTTTAGCTAATTTCCTTGTATTCATTTCATTCACATATTTTTAGCTTTTGGCCTTATATTACTGCTCTATTACAACACTGTTATCAATCTATCATTGATGTCTCACCATTACACATGCTGTTTTACTCACTTTAATTCTCCCTCTGAAAGTCTGATGTAGTTCTCAAACAGACTTTCATATTTTAACTCTTCCAGGAAGATTTGACACTTATCACACCTTTTTCTAGTAGGATTTTATAGTTCATTCATAATTTTAATTTAAAATTAACTTTAAAACTTACTACTCTTTTTACTTTCACTGAATTCTGTACAAGCATGAACACTATCACAGATCAGCACCATAATACTTTGACAAGATTAATTAATATGAAAATGTTCTTTGTTGTTTCATCCAAAAAGTTTTCCTAAACTACAACATACAAAATTTTATGGTTCTGATGGCACACAAAACTTTACACATGCAGGATGGATTCAGATAACCTGCAAAATCAATGACCTTCAGACTAGATTCAAACTGACCATTTATTATTAAATACTGAAATTAAAGATGAATTAACAATATTAGAAACTTTAGGTATATTGTATAGAATTAATGGACAATTTTTCTATCTGATATAATGTAACTATATTTCTTTGATTTCATAATTCAGGTGGCAGGTAGAGTAGTGGTACAAGGGGTACTTTAAGGTACCCCTTGTATTATGGCGAAGTTGTTTGATTTATCGCCAAGTTGTTGTTTCATTTATGGTAGCCTGAGTAGTTGAATTTTATGGAAACCCTATTGTGACATAATCGGGTGCATGATTCTGGGAAATTCTGAATCATGGGGTGTTTTGTAAGCGTTTTTGTGGTGTGTGTTAAAACCATTTAGATGGATTTGAATGGGTTTGTAGGAAGGAAGGTTCAGATGGTCACTATGTAAAGCGTTTGATCAGAAAGAGTATCTGGTTTGAAAAAAGTCGTTTGAGTATGATTGATATTTTGATTTTTACGTGGCTCTGGGTGTACGAAGCGAATTCGTAATTCATGGTAAGTGAATATTTGCTTTTGGTAGTTCTTAAATGTATAACATGTTTCTCCTTTTTTATGTTATTTTATTGTTTGGTTTAAAATGTATTTCATTGAGATTATGTATTTTTGGTTGCCTATATTGTAGAATTTGGTGCTCCTTTGACTTTTTAAGTGAAAATATATCAATGTATACATGGACAGAGTAAAGGGAGTGCGCAATGCAAGTTTGTGCAATTCTGGGATTTTTGTAAGTGAAAATAGGTCAACGTGTACATGGATAAAGTTAAAAGAGTGCGCAATGCCATTTTTGTGCAATTCGGGGATTTTTTTTTAAGTGAAAATAGGTCGACATGTACATGGATAAAGTCAAAGGAGTGCGCAATGCCACTTTTGTGCAATTCGGGGTTTTTTTTTTAAAGTGAAAATAAGTCGATGTGTACATGGATATCGAGTTTTTGCAATTGTTTGTCTTCTTATTTTCACTTTGTGCAGCGGCGATTTTTGGTGCAAAAATCGCCTCTTCGCAAGCCAAAATAACGAGTCAAAGAATCGCACAAAATCGGTATCCATGTACCGTCAAAAATCGCCAAGGGGTACCCTAAACTATACTTTTACCCAGGTGGCTTCTTTTATTCAAATTTTGAAATAATGTTTCCTGAAATTTTTAATACAAACAAAATCTTTTTCTCTTAATATTAGAGTTTGTTTTATCATGTTAAAAAAACATATTTTAAGCATATTTAAGTAGGAAGCATATACAGTCACATTTTGTCCATGTACACTTAAGTTTTTTAAGATCATCTTCTTGAGTTGTGTGCAGATTTTATTTTGTGTTATCTTGAAGCAGATAGAAAATTTCCTAAATATCTCTCACAAAAAATAATAATTTATTCATTGGATTATTCTTATGCATTTAACTTAAATTATTCTTGGCCTACCCTTTCTTATTTAGATTTTATTCAGCAGTTTGAAAAGTATGATCTTAGAATATGAATAACCACCATTTTTCTTTAGTAAGGCTTACAAAAATTAACCATCCATAATACACAAATTCATCAGACTATTAAAAATGCTTGAAAATTAATTTAGAAAATATATACTTACCAGTTTTTTAGTAGTTCTTACAACCAAGCCAGGCACTTTTACAAATAAAGCTCGTAATAAAGAGGATTTCCCAACATTACTACGGCCAATAAAAGTCACCTTAAGGTTTAGAAAAATTAAAATATTGAAAATTCAATAAAACACAACAGAAAGTCCAACACATGTAAAAAATAAATGCAAGGCTCTAATCCAAAATGATTATAAAAAAGTTTCAAAAATGCATATAATTGATATAACTTCATACAATAGTTATAAACAATACTGTCAGCAAACAGAGTGTTGGAAAAAAAAAAGAGAGAGGTTTCATTTTGTTAAATGCTCATACAAAACATACTTCCAATTCACTTCATACTTCCAAGGTTTCACAAAATAAAACAGAGAATTTTATAAAAACGAACTCAAAGTTGAAGGTAGAAGGTTTTCGAAAATACAAAATGCTAACTTTTTTAAAGAATGTTTTGCAGTAAAAATTCCAGGTAATTAAACACATATTATTCTTTTAAATTAAATATGCAAAGTTTTCATAGTTTTAGATGAAAAATCTGAGAAAATGCTGAAGAAGGAATTTACTAAATGAGATTGTCTTTCAGAGCTTCATTTAGTTTTAAGGAAAGTTACAAACAAATACTGCTCACCAGGCAATTAATGATTCCATACTGAGTAAAACAGCAGGGTGAATGAATATGCAGCTGGCCACATGAAAGTATTACAATTGCCTCAACAGATTTTGCATGCAAAAAGTGTGGAACTTCACAATAGATTTAAATAACATGTGATGAGCACACACTAACAGCATTTTCTGTTGTACATTGCATGAAAAAAAAATATGGGACAGTTCTATATCTCCTGTTCTATTGGGCCGATTGACGAAATTCAACTTGCTCTTTTCATGTCTCGAAAGCACAACTTAGGATATGTATTAGATTTATACACTGCTCGACATTGAAAATACAACACCAAGAAGGAGTGGTCAAAAATTTATGCAAATTTTAGAGTAGACGCACGTCACTGAGTTATGCGAATGATGTGAAATTGTTGGAAAATATAGCTTATTTTTAAATTTTTTAATGCATCATCTCTCCTCCTTGAAATGTTTATTTAGTTTAGTCCTTATTTTAATAATGTAATATAGTAGTTACTTCTACTTCTTTTCTTGCTGCCACTGTTTGCATTGAAAACGGACTGTCTCAACCTAATTGAGATGCAAAAACGAAACAATGTTACGTCATCTGAAAAGCCGATTCGTGCCGATAGCTGATTGGTTGCCGTGAGATGACGTCATTCCTACTTCTGCTATAAGTATCTCGCGTCGCTCTGGCTCAACCCTGCTTCTAGTTCCTGGTTTACCGGCTGGTGTGTGAGCGGTTTCCAGCCCCTTCCAAAGGATGCCTTGATTCCGGTTTACAAGATGATGGTTCCAGATTGAAGTTCTTCAGTTCCGGGGGCTGTCCTGTGAGTGACTGCCGTAGGCAACGTCCATGTTTCTTCAAGGAGGGTGGAATTAAGTGCAAATGGCGTTATGCCGGTTTTAAGTGGTTTCACATTTAAATTTTTCAGGTGTTTTCTTGACCATTGATTATGAACTTATGGAATGGGTAGCCTGCTTTATTTTTAGGTGGCATAGTCACTATTTAGGACTTTTTCATTTTATTTTTATTTTTTTGTATAGAATGCCAGTGTTTTGGTGTACAGGTAAAAATATTTGATGAATGATGATTATGTTATGTTTTGCCTAATACTCTAATATTGTTGAAATTTATTTTATGTGTTTTTATTTTTTTATTATATTGTTAATAAATTGGTTAAGTTCAAAATCTTTTATTGTCTTCAATGTCTGCACAGCATAACTCAGGGAGCTATCATTGCTAATACTGCTAAATGTTTAATATCTTTAAACTTTGCTTTAGCATCATTTTGGTTATGGGCCCAGTAGCTCCTGAGTTATTTTTTAGTGCAGACTTTTGAAGTTTAAAGTTAATTTAGGACTTAAGAGATTGGGGGGCGGGGTTTTTGTTAAAATTCAAATATGGCTACTGTTAGTGTCATGCATAATATTGCTAAACTTGATGCATGTAATTATTTTACATGGTCCAAAGATATGAAGTTTGTCTTGAATGAAAAAAATGCATGGCTTTTGGTCAAAGGTGTTGAGAAATGTCCTGATTTAGATGATGTTAAGGGTATTGCAAAAGAAATTATTGCCGACTTTCAAAATAGAAGTCGATTGGCATTATCGTTAATTTATATGAATGTAAGCCCTGAATATAGAAACTTGATATGTGAAATTGATGACCCAGTAGTGGCATGGAATACGCTTGCCAAATATTTCCAGCCAGATTATACGTCAAGACATATGTCCCTGTTTTCAGAGTTCTTAAATTGTAAAATCAAGCCAAATGAAAGTATTAGTTTCTTTTCTTCTAGATTAAAACGAGTAACTGAACAGTTAGCTGATATTAATCAGGCTGTAAGAGACTTATATATATGTTTCCAGTTTCTTAGGTTCTTCCAGATAAATTTGATCAAGTAGTTCAGAATATTTTGAGGTGGCCAGATGAAAAGTTCATTTTTAAAAATGTTTGAACTTGAAATTCTAGCAGAGGAAACGCGTCTTAATTTAAGAGAGATGGATAGAGGAAAACTCCAATAAGACTATAGAAGTTCAAAGTACTCACTGTGAACCCAAATTTAAGCAGATTAAAGGGCTCAAGTGTTATAACTGTGGCCGTCCAGGTCATATTCAAAAAATACTGTAGAATGAGAGGTATTTTTTCCAGATCACCCTCACCTGCTTCTTCTGTTTCCTCAGCTGTATCTAGTAGTAATAAAACATCTTCCTAAGTGTAAGAATAAACCCAAGTTATGTAAAGTTGACCCAAGTATGTAAAGGTAAAAATAATTCCCATGCTGAGTCCCATTTTCATAAGCTCAAGCTAATGTTAACAATTTGGAAGGAAAATGATGATAGTTGGATTTTTGATACGGCTGCATCTCATCATTTTTGTAAAAATCGTGAATTGTTTGATACTTTTTCTCCTGTGAAAAATGAGAACATGCTAGTAGCTATTGATGGGGCAACTTTTCCAATTCAATGGGAAAGGCACTGTTAAAATGAAATTTGGGGATCGAACGGTTATTTTGCTTTAAAGATGTTTTATATTCACCTGAACTGAGACGAAATTTAATATCTGGACCTAGGGTGGATGGATATCAATGGAGCAAGATTTTATGGTAAAAATGGGCAAATTAAAGTTACTGATGATGAGAATTCAACTTTGTACAAGGCTAAGTTGATAGGAAGTGTAACTATTACATGTATTCCCGAAAATAGTCAAAAAAGGGGGGCAAATCTGTAAAATTTGAGGCATCCACAGTTCAGACATAATAAATAGTGAATTATGGCATGGTCGGTTTGGTCATATAAATTATGGTGCTATTGTCAGGACTAGTAAGAGACATTCAGTTCGAGGTCTTCCTGTGTTAAAGCACTCACCTAATTTGTTTTGTGAACATTGCCAAATCAATAAGCAAAGACGAATCTCCTATAGACCTTTAGAAGGTATTCAAGTAAAGAGGTTTTTTTCTGATGTATGGGGACCTATTAACATTCCAGGTAGGAATGGTGAACGTTATTTCGTTTCCTTTATTGACGAATATTCTCGTTATGTGGTAGTGTACCCCATTGTGGAGAAAAAGTCAGGTGTTTGAAGTATTTGAAAGGCATATAGCACGTGCAGGAAAGATCTTTGAACCTTAAGTTGAAATACTTTAGGACTGACAATGGGCGGAGAAATGATAATGATCAATTCAGGTCATATTGTAATAAAAATGGTGTAAAGCACGAATTTACAGATGTCTATACTCCAGAACAGAATGGAGTTTGTGAGAGATTTAATCAGACAGCTCTAAATAATGTACGTGCAATCTTACACGATAGTGGAATGAGTTCCGAATTTTGGTCAGATGCAGTAATGTATTTTGCATATTCATTTAATAGAATTTGTCATAAGGGCCAAGATAGAACCCCATTCGAATTATACACTAAGCGGAAACCATCAGTACGTCATCTTAAGGCATTTGGAACGATTGCCTATGTGGGAATTCCAAAGGCTAAAAGAAATTCTAAACTTGATCCAAAGGCAACAAAGGGCCGATTGATTGGGTACAGTGTACGAAGAAAAGGGTACACGATTTGGTTGGAAAATGAGCAAAAGGTAGTAGAAACCCTAAATGCTACTTTTAAAGAGTCGATTGGAATGCAGAAAAGTGGCAGTGGAGCTGCACTGGGCACCCTTCCTGATTTGGAATCTGAAGAAAGGGTTAGAGTTCCAATCTACTGACACTCCAGTTGGCTATTTTCCTGAAATAGAGGAAAGAACCGATACCAATGTACCTTCTTCTACAATTGGCATTGACACTCAATCTACATTGAGACAAGTAACTTGGCTTCGTAAAACCTGTTCCAAGGCCAGACGGCACTCGTACGGATGTGTATTATTTTGAGAGGGGGTGTAATCAAAGACTACGATCACCAAATGATGTAGAAAGGTATTGCACTGAACATAACATTCAGTATGATCCTACCTTGTTTGATTTCAAGGGAAGCAATACTTATAGTGGTGAAATCGACCCAACTGGTACTCCTTCAACGTCGTATACCCGAGATAGCTGACTAGATGTTTCAATTCCAAACACTTATAACCAGGCAATGAAATCCACAGAAAAGCTTAAATGGATAGAGGCAATGGAAGAGGAAATGGCCAACATGCGAAAGCATAAGGTATGGCATCTTGTTCCACTTCCTAAAGACAAGACTCCACTAGGTTGCAGGTGGATTTTTAACATTAAACGTGACGAATTTGGAAACATTGTTCGTTTTAAAGCTCGTTTAGTGGCTCAGGGTTATCGGCAAATTAAATACGATACCTATGATGAAACCTACTCTCCTGTAGTCAACTTTTCAGTAATAAGGCTCTTTTTCTCCCTTTTAGTTGCACACCTAGGATGGGCAAATATACAATGTGACGTGAAAAGTGCCTATCTCTACGCTCCTTTATCAGAGGAAATTTACATGTCCCAACCTCAGGGTTTTGTGGAGC